ATCAGCTATTAGAGTTCTTATTTTCAACCTCTTTTGCCTTAAGGTGTATTACTAGCCAGCACAATGCCTTCCAAGAGCAGTATGTGCACTAAATAGATGAAACAGCCAGCTTCTTTTGTGTGACCCCAAACTGTCCTTATTCCCGATAAATCCAAACCTAAACTGAACAAATCTTTTTCAACCCTTGTACACCAACCAGTTGCTGCTGATGGGATCTGGGAAATGGAATGGGCCCCAAAAAGCTACCTTGTCATTCTGCCACCCCACTCCCCCAAAAAAAGAATTATCAAAGCAATGAAGAAGAAGAATCTCCTTCTAACAAGTCACATAAGAGATTTTTCTTATTTCCTGAGCCTCCTACTCAGGAAGCTCTGGTAATCTCTGCCGTTTTCCTGGTGACTTATGATTACTTGGAAATTCATCATCTGTTGTGGAAGTCTTTTCTGATAAAAACTCAGAGTTACAAGGTATATTCTTCACTTAGTTCCCCTTAATCACAGGGCCTTTGATTTTCCTGCTTCTGGGGTCATATTGGAGCCCTGGTGGTGTGGTGGTTAAGATCTCTGGTTAGCAGTTTGAATCCCCCAGCCGCTCCTTGGAAACACTATGGGGCAGTTCTGCTCTGTCCTGTAGGGTCGCTATGTGTTGGAATCGGCTCGACCGCAACGGGTTTTTACAGAGGTCATGTTAGCAGCTTGAGTAAGTGACCCTGTCCTTTTGTAAAGGAACACAAAGTGGAAGAATCATTCAGTACCTATAGTTGGATCTCATTTTCAATTCAGTGTTTTTCAACTGTGTATCCAAGGGTAAAAATTCACAGTGAATCACAGCCAAACTTTTCTTAGACCCCTATTCCAATTTTCACATGTGTCTGACTTCAGGATGAAATATACAGTCTTTTATTATCTAAGTTCCATCTATCTCTTTCCTGCTCAGGATCTTTTTTTTTTTTTTTAGTTCAGTGGTTTTTTTTTGTTTTTTGTTTTTACTCATCTCTTTCATCTATTCACATAAAATTATCCCCACACACATAAAAGGAATATATCATTTCAAATCTTTCTCCCTGATCAAAACCCATTACAGATTATGAGTGATAGTGTTTGTGTGTGTTCATATACAGAGTTTTAAAAAAAATAATTATTTATTTGAAATTTGGATCATACTATAAGTACTTTTCAGCATCTCGCTTTTTTTTTTCTTCCCAATACTTTACGGGATATTTATCCAAACCATCTGTTATAGCTCAAATTCATGTTTTTTAGTAGCCAAAAACTATCCACTGGTAGGAATGGAATAATTTATCCATTCGAACAACACTGAAATAAACCTCCTTTTACAATACGTTGAAACATACTTGTGTTTTTATTTCTGTAGGATAGATTCCCAGGAGTGGAACTCCTAGATCAAACAATATAGACTTTTTATATAAAAAGGAAAACTGTGGGGACTTTATTTCTAACATCATCATCATCATTATGGAAGTTAGTAACTGAAAAACTCATTAAAGGAAACATTTTACAGAATTTTACATCAGAGTTCTAAGGCCCACAGATACATGACATACAGCACATGAAAAAATATCTTTGGAAATAATCACAGAAGTCCTTTGGCCATGAAACTAAAAAGCAAAGGATGCTTCTTAAAATCTGTAGCAGAAGGTGAAATAGACCACCTAAATCTAACTTAGCACTACCTGAACAAAGTTATACAGTGTCCTTTCCTGAGATGATGGTTTCAGAACATGAACTGAGAAGAAGGTAATTCTTTGGAATGTTCCACAGGAGCACTGCAGATCAAGTCAGATCTCCAAAAGCCATCATCAGATTATATGAACCTTTCAGCCATTACCAGACATGACAACACAGTGTCTCCAGAGATATTTGCCCTGTTGCTAGTAAGCCAATTAGAAGATAAGAATACAAAAAGTTTCTTTGAAATACAAAGAAAATCTGTGCTTCTGTCTTAGGAAGCGTAAGATAGATTGACAGGACTACATATGCATCTAGCTTTACCAACTGGTAGGTATAGTTTTGATAATGGTATCTGGAAAGTTAGTGGGGTAGACACTGCTCTCAGTACCACTACTGGCCTGCAGCAACATAAAACCATGGGCAAGCTGGCTGATCCAGCCTGCACTCTCTCCATAAGCATCTGCTTATCAGTATGATGAATAAGTAAAACTGGAGTATGTTAAATAATAAGTACTAAGGAAAAAACTAAGCAAGAAAGGGGGCTATGAACTATCTGGCGAAAAGAGGGTTGTAATTTGAAATAAGATACCTATTTGTATGTGCCTTAATTTACAGGATACACAAGAAACTAGTGAAAATGAATATCCTTTGGGACAGAGAAGGACAAGGTGATCAAAGGCAGGGTGGATGAGAGATTCTCCTTGTATACTTTTTTTATATAATTTCAATATTTGAACCCTGAGAATATATTTCCTATTTTTTTATTAAAAAATAAAATATCATTCTACCATTTTTTCTATCCCATTAACTTGCTTTGTATTTTTTCATAGCACTCATCATCACATGTTGCGGTTAGCTGCTATCAAGTCAGCACCCAACTCATGGCAACTCCATTCACAACAGGATCAGACTGTTGTGATTCACAGGGTTTTCACTGGCTGATTTTCAGAAGTAGATCTCCAGACCTTATTTCCAAGTCCATCTTAGTCTGGAAGCTTCACCGAAACCTGTTCAACATCACAGCAACATGAAAGCCTCCACTGACAAATGGGTGGTGACTGCGCATGAGGGGCACTGGCCAGGAATCAAACCCAGATCTCCCACATGGAAGGTGAGAGTTCTACCACTGAACTACTACTGCCTCATCATTATTACATACATTATATTATATATGTGTCACATGTTGTTGGTTCTAACCCACTATTGAAAGTCCCTTGAGGGCTGGGACATTGGATTCCCCAGAAGAGACTAGTGCCTAATAAACATTTATTGAACAGATGAATTTCCTCCAATGTTTCCTAATGCCTCACTAACTTCTCAAAAGTCAGTTACAGCCTTGCAAAACTCATCCTAACTTGTTAACCCACTCCAATGAGACTACCTCACCATTTATTTACTGAGATGGTAGTTGAAAACATCACACTAGTTTAACAAACATTTACACATAGCTTATATTTGTATAGGCTCTGGACTTACAAAGTTTTTCTATTTTACACATTAGCTAAAGAGATGTGTGGGGTGGTGGTGGGTAGCATATTTAATACATATTTGTTCATTGAGGCAAAAAAGCAGCATGTGTTGTACCTTTTCAAATGAACATCAAAACATTTCCAGCTGTGTCTATCCTGCTGCTGCCATACACAGGAGACTGAAAAAGCTGTGCAGAGAGGAGGAAGCAGCAGGAAGGAGTATAAGTGCCCAGGTTCTGGAGAAAGGCTCTGTGATCTTTCCTGGACTTGTTCCTAGAGACTAGCATGAGAGCAGACAAGAGGCATCTCAAGCAGGGCCGCCTCGGTGCAGGCTGGGAGGTTCAAATGACAGGCTTCCCCTCACACCAGAGTCACTCAGCCCTAGGGAGGCGGTGAGAGGCATAGTGAAGGTAGATACTGCTATAGCAGTGAAAGACGTCAAGGGAGGAGGTGCAGAACACCAAGCAGCATTACTTCTGGAAGGTGGACGGGGATGTGGGCAGTAGCTGGGATTTAAGATTCTAACACCGTAGCAAGGAAAACTCATCAGCCTTCAAGGCAACATGTGGGGAAATTAAAGGAACTGTAGCAGATGAGATTCTTGAAGTTGTACTGACAGGAGATTGACCAGAGTCCTTGTGTTTTTGCTGTACCCATTCTATTATCTCTCACCAAGCTTGTGGTTTGGGGAGTATAAGTTAAAAAAAAAAAAAAGAATCTTTGTGTCTGGCTGGTACCTTTTAGCCAGAACAATTCACTCAAGCACCACACAAATTAAGCAATAAAAGCAATTACAGATATTTCATGCAGTAGTACTAATGCGCAAGACCTTCTCATTTTACTCATGATCCCTTTCTGTTCTGTTCCATTAGCATTTGTCTCTGAACCCCTGATTTTTCTCCTGTTTGGGGCCCTATCCCTGCCTTTTGGATAGTGGCTTATCTTGCCTTTGCTATTTTGATATTTATTGCTTTCTAAAGAGTTTGACTTGATTGTCTCCACTTCTTGACACCTCAGGTAGGATACCAACTCTTAGCTCTGACCCTGTATGACATCAATCCCATTCTGGCAAGGTGGTAGGCTGAAGTCACCTTAGTTTCCTTGGTAGGGTAATTGAGATAACTTATCATCTGTAAGACCCACTTTTCTGTGTATGTAAAGCATCAAACATCTTCCTATTTAAGAAAAAAAAAATCTTTCCTATATTTGCTCTTCAACAACACGCTGACTCAGACCAAAAACACATCTGGAAATAGAAAGTTTGCTCTTCTGTCAATACACACATGTCTAGATAGTTTGGGAAATCAATCACCTCTTATAAAGCAGGATTCAAGCAGCCTTCTGAGATTCAACTGATCCTGCTCGCCACTGAACTACTTTAAAGGAGGAAGTTGGCTTAGCTGAAGGGAATGTGTACAACAGTGGGGCTTGTAAATTCAAGATGTTAGTTAATGACACGTTTGACTTGGATTTGTCTTCAATTTGTCTGATTTTTTAAACCTTCATTTTATATCGTTCTTGGTCATTGTTGCAGCCTGATGAGATTCGTAAACAATGTGGAACTGATAACTTACTGATGGTCTGGAGAATGGGTGCAGTTTCCTGAGTTGCCTCCACTAACTGGAAGGTAATTCTGCCTCTACATTTCTGAGTGGCATTCCCAGATAATGCAAACAGTTAATGCACTCACTGCTAACCAAAAGATTGGAGGTTCGAAGGTTAGAGGTTCAAGTCTACTCAGAGGCATCTCGAGTCCACCAGAGGCCTGGCAATCTCCTTCCAAAAAATCAGTCACTGAAAACGCTATGGAGCACAGTTCTATGACACACATGGGGTCGCCATGAGTCTCAATCAAGAGAGGGGTTCCAAACGGAAGAAAAATCAGGGGCTCAGAGATAAATGCAAGTGGAACAGAACAGAAAGAGATCATGAGCAAAGTGAGAAGGTCCTGGGAACTATACGAATGCATTTGTGAGGCAGGCAGGAGTGTGGTGAATACCTTCAGCCACCAGAGGGAATCCAGGTCCATCAGGAAGGGTAAGGTGAATTTGCAAAAGACATATTCATTTAGAAATTCTCTTTTTTGTGAAATTCCTTAAAAACACAACTAAGGGTTTAAACTTTGAAGCTTGTTCATAAGATTAGTTCACAGAAGACCCTCAACACCAGGAACAGTAACTCACTAGAATAATGAGATTTCTCTAAGGCAGGGTTAGGTCTGTGGGCCAAATCTGGCCATCTTCTTTTGTATAACTCAAAGCTAAGAATGGTTCATACATTTTCAAATGATTAAAAAAAATCAAAAGAATAATAATATTTTGTAACACATGAAAATTATGTGAAATTCAAATTTTGATGTGTATAAATAAGTCTCCCTGGAACACAGCCATGGCCATTCATTACATATTGTCTATGACTGTTTTTGTGCTACAACAGCAATGTTAAATAGTTGCAACGAGACCCCTGGTCTAAAGCTTATGTGAAGAAATGAGGCCAACACAAAATGAGCATCTCTTTACAAGCATCTGTACTAAAAGGATCAGTATGAATCCAATCCCCAAAACACAGAGGTTGATCCAGTCCTCACATCCCTACTTCTCCAGCCTCATCACCAGCCACCCCTGTGGCAACATTCTCTCTCTCCCTCTCTGACCCCAGTCATCTGGAGCTAGGTCAGAGCTCACAAGTTAGATGGATACTGTCCTTCCAACTGCCACAACATTGGAGAGTCTACACAACACCCCAACCTTCTGACCCACTGGCCACAAATTCAGGGCTGGTTTTCCACTACCCCTTCAGGCTGCCAGCTCCAAACTCAAGAGTTCACACTACACCTTTACTTCCTGAACTGCTGGCTCCTACTACCTCTTTGGGTTCGATAATTTGCTGAAATGTCTCACAGAATTCACCAAGAGTATAAATACTTGTGGCTACAGATTTATAATAGCCAAAAAGGACACAAATGAAGAGACACCTAAGGCGAGGTCTGGGAAGGTTCCCAATACAGAGCTTCTATGTCCCAAGGGACATGTTACCCTCGCCAACTAGAAAGCTCTCTGAGTCTGTGTTCAGGGCTTTTATCAGCTAGTCCTGAATGCTAGGCTAAACCCTGCCTCCTGAGCCTAGTTGATATGGACTTTCCAGATGAGTCTTTTCTGTTCTGGCCAGCCCCCACTTGTCAGCACAAAATCTCAGGTGGAGCCTAGAAATCCCAGACCAAGGCACCGCAGTTGCTCTAAGGGTTATTTCTCCAGAGCCAAGGACAAAGGCCATCTTACTTAGGGTAATCTAGGTCCTTTGACCCACAGCATCTCTTCTGTGCGGTTATAGGGACTGTAGAAGACAAGAAATAGAGAAAATGATGCAACCTCGCAGTCTTGGTGCTTGACTCAAACACGCCCTCAAGAAATTTAGGTTGTCAGGTCTCTCAGTGAAGTGCCTGCACCCACACCATTGCCTAAAACATTAAAGAAGTGGGATTCAGGAGAAGAATCATCAAAGCTAGTACACCTGCAACATGGCCAGGAATTTTTGCTACTGAATAAGCACATTTATTCCTGCACGTAGAAGTAACCCCAGGACTCCCCAGGTTCACCTTCTGGGGAGCCACACCACCTGAGCTAAATTACTCTTCAAGTTCCCTTCCCAGCTCACCCCCACTCCAGGGAATATAAAGGAAACAGCATGAAAGCTTTGGAAAAGAAGGGACATTGGAGCAGGGAATGGTTACTCCCCTAAGATAGGGCTTGGACTTTAAGATTCAGAAGATGAAAGGGGTTTTGCAGAAAGCTGCAGTATGCAAAAGCTGTGGCAGAGGTGCCAGGAGAGAGACTGGGCTAGTAAACGTGTCTGCTGCAGATGGAATATACTCCTGCAAAGGGCAGAAAAAAAGAGTCGTCTTTTCCACCTCCTGGAAACCCTTTGCGGTCACTATAGGTCAGAACCCCCATGGCAGTGGGGTTTTTGTTTTGGTTTGGTTTTTGGAGAGAGAGCAGCATCACAGGCCAAGGTAGAATTGTGGTATATCCTGTCCTCCTTAGATGAAAAAGGCTACAGGAGTGCTATTGCTCCTAAGTAATCTACCCAAGATCTATTTTCACAGTATTGTTTGTTTAATCATTAAAAACTGAAAAAGAGCTCTAGGTAAAATGAGAGAAGATAAAATGACGTGGTCTGAATCGCAGCTGTAGAAAATTTAATGAACATGTGATTTTCTTTTTTTTATTTGACTCCAAATCCACACTTACCATTTGGTATTTTGAACTACATGCCAGGTTATATATTATATCTATTGCTAAATATGTATACATATCTATATCTACATCTTTTCTAAGCATTACAACAGCCCAGCAAGACAGATAGTGGTATCTGAATTTATTAATGAAGAAACCAAGAATCAGAGAGGTTAAGTGACTTGCCAAAGCCACACAGCTATAAGTGACATGACAGAACTAAGATTTAAAATCCTGTTCTCTACTTCACCACACTTTTTCTAGAGATGAGCATTACCATCTCCAAAAGACATAAAGGGACAATTCATTAAGAATTAAATATATGCCAAACCAAACAACTAAACTCCTTGCCGTGGAGTCAAGTGTCACTCATATCAACCCTATAAGACAGAGTACAACTGCCCCATAGGGTTTCCAAGGCTGTAAATCGTTTACCAAAGCAGACTGCCACATCTTTCTCCTGAAGAGTGGCTGGTGGATTCGAACAGTCAACCTTTCGGTCAGCAGTTGAGCACTTAACCACTGCGCCACCAGGGCTCCCTACATATATGCCAGTTAATGCTAATTATCACCAACTAAATGAAGGGACTAACAGGATAAAATAATTGATGTATCATGATTTTAAGTAATATAGGAATATGGTTGATAGGGAAATAATATTTAGAAATATCACTCTATTTCATGACTGAGGTGTTAGGTACAGTTTGTTCAGTCTTACTGCCAGCATAATTTTAGCTGGTACAAATTGGATCGATTTATGGAATTTGACCTTTTCTGTGACCACACACTGTTCCACAGAGTGTAAGAAATACCAATTTGAGTAACACAAGCCTTTGACCACAAAGGTCAAAAAGAGAGAACAGGAGGAGAAAGAGAGAGGGGAAATCCATTTTCACCACTGGGATATCTCAGTTAGGTAGCTGATTTTCTATAGTATGTGGATGTTACTGTGAGGTACCCACCAAAGAACTAAGACTGAGGAAAATAATGTAAACTTTGAAATAACCCATAATGAAATGAAGAAGAGAACAGCAAAGTCTGCTGGGAGAAGCCGCCTAGCTGCCCGGGCCAAGTGGCCAGGAGTGTAACCAGTAGGCTGTGTTTAACCAGTAGGTTGTGACTACTGGCAAAGCCTGAACTAGGCAGCCAGAAGCTGGCCCAGAAGCCCGCCCCTCACAGGGAGTTGGTGGTATGCTCAGTTGCTGCAGACCAGGTAATGAGTACCTCCATAAGAGCAGCTCCTCCCATTTTCCAATACTTCCCCACACAGAGTGTGAGTTCAGGTAAAGCATTTTTTCTTTCAAGCTGCCCAAACAACTTGGACAGGACTCAAGCATACAGAAGAAGGCAAGACAAAGAAAAGGTAGCAGAGATGAGAAAAAAATGATACTGTAAAGGGCTGAGAGGGAGGAGGGCGGGCTTGGTGAATGGAGAAGGAGCCTGCTGTAATTTCATAACAAATATGGCTAGAAGGAGAATGGCATATAATTCAACAGATTTGTTTTTCCTGGGAATCACAGAATGTAATTCTTGTAATACAAGTTCATTTCATGGCGTAGCTGTATGGTTTTATCTTAAAAGAATAAAAAAAAATTATAGAAGCTATAGTAGAGCATAAAGTTACTGTTAGGAATATGAGAAGCTCAGGAAATGTAATTTTCTTAGGAGAAGACAGAGGTAGGGGAGGCAGCTAGTGGGAAGAAGCTGTTTTGGGGTAAAGGTACTTAAATTTTCTTATTAACTGAGAAGGTGAAGAACGTTATAACGGGAAGAACACATAGGGGGTGACAACCAGGCATACTGAAGTACATCCCCAGATCTCATTTTAGCACTGATTTCAGCCTTTTCTCTCCTTAAGTCTCTGTCAAAATAGAAAGAATGAACAGATAGATGATAGATAGACAGAGAGATAGATAGATAGATGATAGAGAGATAGATAGATGATAGACAGATAGAGAGATAGATAGATGATAGACAGAGATAGATAGATAGATGGTAGATAGACAGATAGATAGATAGATAGATAGACTGATAGATAGATAGATAGATAAAAGTGTAAACACTACCTGGTCTTGCAGCATTCTCACAATCTATGTATGAACCCATTGTTGCAGCCACTGTGTGAATCCATATATATATATATATATATATATATATATACACACACTACTGGGATATCTCAAGTAGAAAACTGCAGCTTATGTATGTTGTGAATCTCCTTTTCTTTCTCCTGCTTATTCTGACTGGTATAAAGTAAATGACAAAACGCCAGAGGCAAAAAAGATGAAGGCATATGCTGGATCATCAATTTCTTAATTTTGAAGAGTTGACTAAAAACATTGTGCTTCTTTTTGGATGAAAACATTCTCTTCAGAAATTAGACAGAAATGCAAAATGTAGTCAGATGACTGAAATGAGCTCCAGTTTATTAAAAATTAACATTTTGGTTTAAAATTACATTCTTGGTTCAAAAATAAAATTTCTTTCTAAGCCAAAGAGTCATGCCTAAAAATTAAGTTTTATATTTTATATTTTGTTTATATAATACTGTTGCTGGAAATTCCCTCTGGGCCTTTCCACAAGAGATCACGGGCAAGAGAGTGGCCATCATCGGAGCTGGGGTCAGTGGCCTGGCCTCCATCAGGAGCTGTTTGGACGAGGGGCTGGAGCCCACTTGCTTTGAGAAGAGTGACAATGTGGGAGGCCTGTGGAAATTCTCGGTGAGTGGGACGTCATTGCAATAGGAAGGGAATGGGATGGGATGTGTGCAAGAACACGGCACTCTAGCAAGGCTGTCCAACTAGCTGCCATGGCAGTTATAATCTCCCTTAGGTTTGGAATCCAAGAAGCACAACATCAGGAGCAGGTTGGAAAGTAAACTACTTCCAAGTCAGAAGTAAGTAGATGATGGGCTAGATTGAAGATCTCTGCTTGTGTACAGAGTTCACCCCTGATAAATTATTAATAAGTGACCCACTTGGAGATAGAATCAGCGGTTATATATTGGTTAGAGCTAAATGATTTACTCATTTAAAAAACAATGACTCTTCCCATTCTTCTGTGGAGGTTACCAAGCATCCTCTAAGGATTCACATTACAGGTTTTAAGATCTCAGGTACTGACTTTGGTCTTTTGAACACCACACAATTGATTAGACAGCTACAAGAGGCACCAAAATGAGGACAAGCTGATTTGAAGTTCTTCAACCTGTTTTGTTTCTGTGCATTTATAATAAGGGCCATATCAGTAGACATGTATGTATGCCCCACTCGATCACTTCCTGTGTTACCTGACAACCACATCAGCAGGTATAGGGGCCACTTTGTGCCCATAACCCTATCAGTGTCCCCAACATTAGGACCACTGCCTGGCTAAGCCTACCACATCTTATTTTTCTTCTTCTCGTACACCAATTTTTATATATGTAAATGTAGAAAGATCAATAACCCTTTTTAAGCTACTGTTTCATCTTTAAAAGCAAAATAAGTATTATATTATCTACCTCAATAAATAAAATTTTGGACTGGAATTGATACTGTAATTGGTTGAGATGTTTGGGAATGTTGGGATGGGGTGAATGTATTTTGCGTGTGGGATGTTACAAGAATCTTTGGGGGCCAGAGGGAGGACTGTAGTAGGCTGAATAAGGGCTACCTAAAGATATCAAGTCCTAGTCCCTAGAACCTGTAAAGATGGCCTAATAAGGAAAAAAGGGTTTTTGTAGATGTGATCAAGTTAAGGATCTTGAAATGAGAAGATTATCCCGGATTATCCAGGTGAGCCCAGAATGCCATAATATGCATGTTTGTAAGAGGGAGGCAGAAGGAGATTTGGCACACAGCCAGAAGGGAAAAGGCAATGTAATGACATCAGCAACAAGAGAGAATTGAAGACGCTATGCTGTAGAACTTGAAGGTGGAAAAATGGGCCATGAGCCAAGGCATACATGCAGCCACTAGACACTGAAAAAGCCATGGAATGCCAGCAGCCCCAGAAACTGAAGAGACGAGGAATGGATTCTTCCCTAGAGCCTCCAGAGGGAGCGCAGCCTTGCCAACTCCTTGATGCCACCAATGATACTGATTTCTGACTCCTGGCCTCCAGCACTGTGAGAAGATCAATTTTTGTTGTTTTAAGTCACCAAGTTTGTGGGAATTTGTAACCGTAGCTACAGTTAGTTTCTCAGCATTTTCTAACCCCTTTACTACTATGAGAGGAGTCACGGATTGCAAATGAGGTTGTGAATTGCAGTAGATCTCAAACGCCACTGAGTCATAGCAAAATTCACATTATAAGATTATACTGCAAAATTATATTAATTCTGTATTTTCGTTACCTTTTGTTTCTAAAGTCAGTATTTCACGTTCTCTCAATTTTTTTTTTCCCCTTCAGAGGGACCTAAACATTAGTCGAGTGTGAGAAACAGTAAGGATGTAGATAGTTCAGACTTTTGTAACTGTTTTCTATAAAAAACCAGTAGCCATCGAGTCCGCGTGTGTGTCAGAGTAGAACTGTGCTCCATAGGATTTTCAATGACTGGTTTTTCAGTAGATCACCAGGATTTGCTTCTGAGGTGCCTCTGAGTGGACTCTAACATCTATCCTTTCTGTTAACAGTGAAGTAAGTTAACTGTTTGCACCACCCATGGACTCCCTATTTTCTACAGAACTTCCCTACCCCTTCTAGTTCTCACCGCTAACCCTGATCTAAAACAACATGTTTCCTTCACCTTCTTTGGTCACTGGGAAAGTGAGGCACTTTCTGACAGGGCCACAAGTCTAGTCAAATGTCTTTTTTTCTCAGGAGCCCCCAAATAATAAATCAGTAAATTCTCTCTAGATTTTGCCCTGGATTTCATGAATAGAGGGTCCTTTTTCTGAGCATACAATCCTTTGTTCACTTCCCCTAATTTTTTCTAGACTATGTATCAGTCTGTTCTGTAACGTATCCTTTTGCCTGTTGTTGATTACTGTCTCTGTCAATCTTCCTAAACCCACCAAAAGCAACAAATTCCTTCATCTCCCCAGCCCACCAATACACCAGCAGGGACAACAAACCAGGTGAGGGCCAGGAAACTCACGCCCTATTTCAGGATCCCATTTTTGCAAGGAAAACATTGCAACTAATCTACCATTTAATCACTTGTCAAACAGTCAGGCCCCAGTTACACTGGCTTTTGACATAATTGTAGTATTTCAGTATTATATTAAAAATTCATATTTTGGGGGCACTAACAACTTGAAGTTACATGATCCCTAATTTGAAATTTCTAGTGCTCAGTGCTCTCAATTATGTACTAGCAATTATCCATAGACATCTGCCGTTTGAGCTTTCATCCGAGAAAAAACCATTTAATGTGAATCATGATTGCTGCAGCTGCTATTGATCTTTTTTTTTTTAAGAAAGGAAATATTTTTATTTGATGCATCTTTTGGAGTTTTATTAACTCTTTAAAATTGAAAATGATATTTAAAAAAATGTGATGACTCTTTTCTTGGTTTTTCATTTTTTAAAGGTATGGAAACTTTTGGCCAAACAGTCGCTTAGCAACCATTGCATCTTGCACTTTGACCTGTCACTAAGCGGCTGCATATGAGTGCCTTCTCCCTTATATTTTCTGCAGAGGTAGAGGGTGGCTCCCAAGACAGGAATCTTGGGAAGATTCTGTCCCTATCCAAATTTCTCATTAACAGTGCTGAATAACACCAAGAATTTAAAAACTAGGCAGAAAAGTAGAATGACTCCTAGTTCTAGTCCTTTATTATTCCACAGCCTTTGCCTCTTTAGCTCTGCTTCTTCCACTGTAAAGTGGAATTTACACCTGTCTCTTAACCACCTCCTCAAGTGAAAGCTCTTTCAAGAAACAGATCTGTCAATCTTTTAGTTTCATAAAGCCATTACATGCTATATTTGAAGTTACGGTTTGGAGATATATTTTATCTAACAAACCCTTATATGGAATTACAATCTATGTCAGACATTGTTCTACTCACTTTACACATTATAAAAGACCTTTCTTACTTCATCCTAATTTTCAACTTAAAAAGAGTAACACAAATTTTGAAAAATGTAAAACATTCTGTGTGGCCTTGCTCCTTTTATCAACCCACTTAGCCCACCAAACTGTTTTTTTCTATCTGAAAACTTTTGAACAAGCTACACATGTGAGGACGTGTGTGTGTGTGTGTGTATGTGTGTGTGTGTGTGTATACATACACGCATATATATACAACTTATTGCATTGGGCAAATCTGCGAAAGACCTCTTTAAAGTTTTAAAAAGCAAAGATGTCAATTGATAACTAAGGTGCATCTAACCCAAGTCATGTCTTTTCAATCACTTCGTATGCAGGCAAAAATTGGTTAGTGAAAAAAGGAAGACAGAAGAATTGATGTATTCTAACTGTGGTGTTGGCAAAGAATATTGACTATATTGTAGACTTGAAAAAGAAAAAACAAATCAGTCTTAGAAGAAATACAACCAGAATGCCCCTTAGAAGCAAAGATGACAAGACTTCAACTGGCTTACTTTGGACATATCTTTAAGAAAGACCAATTGCTAGAAAAGGACATCATGCTTGGTAAAGTAGAGGACCAACAAAAACTAGAAAAATACTCAGTGAGATGGATTGACATGATAGCCACAACAATGCTGAGACATAGCAACGATCATGAAGATGGTGCAGGAACAGACAATGTAAGTGCAGTGCGATGGATCACTTTTGTGTGGCCTTTCAAGTGACTGAGTGGGACCATGCTAATAAGTTACATGGAACCCTGAAAAGGGGATTGGTCAGTTTTGCCATTCCACTAGGCTTAAAATGAGCCACCCAAGAGGTGGGAAAGAGAGGATCTCACAACACCAAGGAAGGAGAGCTAGGAAAGAAGCACGTCCTTTGGACCTGGGATACCTGTGCTGAGACCCTCCTGGAACCAGGAGACTGAGAGAGAGAGAGAGATGGAACACTGAAGACAGTGAAAAGCAGTGGCAGAGAAATGGCAGCAGGAGAGACTAGCAGGAGACAACTTGGTGGGCTTCCTGGTCCACAGCACAAGAAGGCTGAGTGCCTTTGGGCAGGAGGCTTGCTGGAGAAGTAGGGTGCCTTCCGGCACTTGGTGGATCTAGGTTTGCTAACCCAGGGAGCTAGAGCTGAGGGCCTTTGGCTGAGACTTACTGGTGGGGTGGGATGTCTCGGGTCATTTATCGGCAGAGCTAAAAGAGCTTTTTAGTACCTGCCCTAGCAGGGCAGATGATGAGGGGCCAGAGAGAGGCGTGCCTGTGAGCACAGCTAGAAGAGGCTGTTCTGATGGAAGAACTGTATGCTGAGCTTTCCTTAACCTGAACTGTAACCTGTTACTTCCCTAAACAAACGCCATAATCTTTAGTGTTGCCTGTGAGTTCTCTGTGGCCATTGCAATGAATTATCAAACCCAGCACAGAAGTGGAGAGTGCCATGGGAAGGATGGTTATTGTCAGAATTGGTAAAGAAGTCGGAGAGAGGAGGCATGTCTGACCTCCGCTTCATAGGAATCAGCCTGGGCTGTTGATCTTGATTCTCATTTCCCCTTGTGAAGTTAGAAGAGGTCAGGCACCACCACCATGCCATTTTTACAGTAAGGTCGCCATGAGTTGAATTTGACAGAAACTAACAACAACAAATGTGTGTGTGTGTGTGTGTGTAGATATATATACATATATCCATATCTATATATGTATATAG